TCTTCTCTCTATCTCTTCTTCTCTCTTCTCCACAGAATGTGTACTCCCGCTTTGCGGCCCCCAAGTTATGGGCAAGCTCCTGCGAGGGAGTCTTCGCCAGTGTGTATGATAGATTTAGCTTAGCTACCAGATAGGCGGTTTTACGCTCCGCCCGTCATATGTGATGAGATCTGATAGGTCGGATCAAAGGGATAACGTTAGTCCGACTAGCGAACCTCCGATATATGGCCAGCGTTCGCCACATATAGAAAGACAAGCACTCATCAAGCACTCAAGCACCCGTGTACTCTAGGCTACATTAGATAGAGTATACCAATCGTTCGTTTTAATTGGGTCTTCTACATATAAGCCTCGTGCAGTCGGATGATCGACTCCTCCGGTTTCCCCTGAACCTCCGACGGAACCCATTTCAATATGTTCCGTTTCGGGACCCCACGGCACGTGATCTTACTTGACACATTGATGAAAGTCGAGGTGGATCAATAGTTTGTCCGATAACCGAGGCCGACAGATCCCTCATATACGGACACACACACTCGTTTAGATAGCCAAGCACTCATTCTACCATTTACGGTGTCTATAGATATCATTGTCACCCTCCGTGTAATCTAAATTTCTTCTTCATATATAGACTCGTGCAGTCCGGATAATCGACTCCCCGACTTCCCCGACTCGGAGTTAACCGCCTTATTGGTTTATCCGTTTCAGGTTATCAGCTGGAATCCCTGTTCCTTCCTGCATTCCCATCATTTCTTGTAACCCAATGATTCTGCCTTACCTTCCCGCATAGTCACGTGAGACTGATGTGGCTAGGTCTGTAACACAAGCCACCTTCCAGGATAGATATACATGGAGATGACAGACCATCCATTGCACTGCTTCCCTCAAAGGAGAGTAGTTCAATAGGAGCATCAGTGGTAGCGTGTTTGATGTCGCCTAGTAGACCTGGACTGGTTGGGTGGGTGTCACTTTCCTCAACGGATGAAGGCGTTGTGCGGCAGTCGGAATCGTTCATATGCGATGATTTGGACACTGGGGATGTGCCACTTTTTGGAGGTCGAGGGCTCCGTGGGATATGTGACTGAGCATTTGCATTTGAAGTTACACAAACTTTAGCTGGTGGCCGCGCTGGAAGCGGATGGTGCTTGGAATTAGAATTATGCACAGGGAGCAAACATGGTTTGGAGGGACTTTTGTGTTTGGAAGGAGAGGAGCTGAAGGGAGCAGAAACAGAAATTGGATATCTTAGAGGATTTGAGGTCTTGTTAATATAGTGTGACTTGGGGGATTTGGCTGGACCGGGATCCCAAGGTTTGAAGTTGTTAACATGGAATACAGATTGGAACATCCTTAGCTAAAGTGAAGGGAATGAAAAATGATAAAGGAGAACTGTTCAGGGAAAAGGAAGGGAAATGTGTGTCTTGGGATGGATATCACAGCACCTCCAATCCCAGGGTCAGTCGCTTCTTATACCTTCAACCTTCAACCTAGGCGATCCCGATCCCACCGTGCCATGTCTATTGCTTCCTCCCTCATCCATGCAGGCCGTGAACAAGATTCAGCTGCTGACGTGTTTGTCTTCCCCTCCTAGACAAAAAAATAAATCACCGGAGAGGCCATTCGCGCTCAAGAGCCCAGAACTTCTTACAGCCAACGGTTGCAAGCGCTTGCAAAGGGCTGCGCCTCTCCAACATACAAATGACCGGATGCATGCTGGTGGACCTGGTCCAGGACGCAAAAGAGGGGGGGGGGGGGAGGATGCGGTATTGTCGCTATTCGATGGCGAGCACGGCAGGAATGCAGTAGTCCAATGCACTCAAGTGATCATCGGATGGAACTAGATGATGCATATGGACAGCGGGAAGGGAAGAAAGAATGCTGTATCTGGAGATAAACTAAATAGAGGTTTGTAATGTGAATGAAATAAAAGCCCAACAAAGACCAGCCCTAATTCTCCTAAGGAAGAACTCGAGGTGAATGATACTGATTGCGCATTTCTCTAAATGCTGAATTGAGAATAAGGCTAACTACTGCTGTATATAATAAGTTCATGCACTATACTAACTTTTTAGACGACCAGCGTTACTCATGTTCATATTAATTAAGTCTGGAAAACCCATCGAGGATCCTTGTCACCCCGGAAATCTCCCTCCGAGTCCCCAATATCACCAACTAAAGCATTCAAGCCCAAACGTTCTCTCTCCTCGGCCTTGGCCGCATTATCCCTCTTCAGAACAAGCCACAAAATACTCACGACAACGATATTAGCCACGAGATATCCAAGAGCAAATCCATGTCCGAGGAAGTATCGCGGCGATGTCTCAGTACGGTACAGCTGGGTTCCCAGCACGGAACCCAAGTTTCCGATAGAGATCTGCATGGCGTTGGCAATAGCACGTTTTGTCTGGCCCGAGACGTTGTTCGCCGGCCAGGAGAGGACAATGGCCACGGCGGGATAAATGCCTGCTGCGGCAAAGAAGGTGCCCAGGTAGGAGACTCCGGGTCGATCTTGGGCGAGGAGAAGGATGTAGCCAATGATGGCGAGGCCGGAGGAGCCCATGATAAAAGGTGCGCGCAGGTGGATGCGTTCGGAGAGTACGGCGACGATGATTGAGAGGACGAATGCCACGGCGTAGGGAGGGATGGTGAGTAACTGGGCTTGAGCGGAGGAGTATCCGAGTTGCTGGATAATCGTGGGCTATGCCTTGTCAGATCTTGAACGACTGCGCATATAAACGACCCGACTTACCATGAAAAGTGAAAGGGTATACAACGGAAGCGCCATCGTATGGAACCCAAGTCCATATAGCCAGACCTTCGGGTCTTTGAAGGCATCCATAACAGCAGACCAGGTGAACTTCTCTTCCCGCGTGGAATCATTGTCGTTTTTCAGACGGAAGTGGATGAACTGTCGCTCTTCTTCCGACAGAAACTCGGCGGTTGCAGGGTAGTTGTAAACCCAGAAGTATGCAGCGACCGACATGACAACGGTCAACAGACCTTCCAAGATAAAAATCCATCGCCAACCGTTATATCCACCAACGCCTTTCATATGCGCAATGCCCTGAGCAAGTTAGCGCGTCTAATTTAATTCATCATGTAGAAGGCGAGACCAACCCAAGCGAGAATTCCACCAAAAGCACCGGCAAGCGAAGCAGCACTGAAGAACAGCGCAACGCGATAGTGTTGCTCATTTCGCTTATACCACATAGACAAATAGAACACCACACCGGGGAACAACCCACTCTCCGCAATACCCAAAGCTGTGCGCGACGTGAGATATCCGGCGTAGTTGTTGACAACACCCAGTAGCGTGGCGACAATACCCCAAACCAGAGTGAGGGTGGGTAACCAGATCCGGGGTGTAGTCCGTTTGAGCACGATGTTGCATGGAATTTCGAACAATACGTAGCCAATGAAGTATAGCGTTAGACCGGTCAGATATTGGTCGCCAGCTATTGGGGTTAGTACACTGGTTCTGAATGTCGTTATAGCTGGTAGCGCATACTCATATTGATGTCGTCTGCCATGCCTTCCAGACGTGCATTGCCAACATTACTCCGGTCCAGGAATGACAAGAGGTACAGAATCGTCAATGGTGGAAGTAGTCGCAAGTCGAGCTTCCGCAATAATGCCTTTTCGTTGATATTGACCTGGTCTTCCGGCGCATGACTGCTTGCGGCCGGCGAGTTTGATTTCCAACCCTTCTGTTCGGGAGAAACCTGCCACCCATCCTTCTCTGTGATTTCCGTCATGATGCTGGTGTCAATGGGCAGGCTCTAGAACGGACCAGCCACACCCAACTACTGCGCAAGGAAATCAGGTTAATCCAGAAACCAAATATGAAGACAGATTCAAATGTCAAAGAAAGAAAGACAGGAAAATATTTAGCTCTACATGGCAGGTAGCACACCATCCCTGACGCGCTGCACGCGATAGGGTTGAACCGGTCGTTTTGCATCATCATGGTGGACACCAATTGATGCTCGTCGAGACTGCTTATTATCCGGTGCTTTGAATTGGAGTCAGTTTTACCGTCCAGGCCGTGATAGGAAAGGATCAATGCGAAAAACCGGCGCTGTGAAGCGTTGGATATGAGCAATTCGGAGACTGCGATGACGAGATCAGATAGTGGGGTTCAACACGTGCTGAGTCTAAGTGTAGCTATGCAGGGACGTTGTGAACATTATTTATTCCATTGAGGTACCGATTTGATTAACTCGCCCGAGAAAACCAAGCACTTGCCATTGAACAGAGCAAAAGACAATAATAGCATTCGATATGGTCACGTGACCCTTCCTTAGTAGGCAAGAAGCGATGGCGTCTGGTGAATAATGGGGTGTTGACAGGACATA